TGATTCTGTGGCAGAGGAAGGCCAAGAGAGCTGTATACTGATCAACCTGTGGGCTTAGATTAAATAAAAATCCAATAAGTGCATCCAAGCCTTATATTGTTTCTCAAATGCACACTTTCAAGCCGTACAGTCAAGGCTTTTCAACGAGCGTGGGAACCCTGTTGCCAGATCTGGCTAGATGCCTGCAATGCAGTTGTAAAATACCAGCTGTCATTCAGTCAGTCGTCATTGATCAGTAAATGACACTGACGCTGACACTTTGTCTCACAAACCTACCTCTCATGTCAGAGTGCAACTTCACCTTTAAAGTCAGTTATAATTTATTCCATCAGCATTGTCTCATACTAGTCAGCTGAGCCATCTGGAAATGACATCTACTCATTCACTTCTCAGGGTGTGGACCGAAGAAAAGTACAAACTGGTAATAATTATGTTTCATGAACAGAATTTATATAACCCCAAAACTTACCTGGTATCATTAAAACTAATCTTCCGCCAGACAACCGAGGCTTGCTGAAGTGTCCTTGATTAATAAACACTTAATGTCCAAACTGGTGGCTCGTCCATGACCTGGACTTAAATCACCTGTGCTCATAAAATCTGTCTGAAACTAACAGATGTAGAGAGATTGGTTTCATAATAGCTAAACATTAGGCCAAGGGGTGTGGCTGTGGCCGCCTAGCTGCAGGTCACTGGGTCAAGCTCAAAGATGGAGAGGTGAGGGTTGAGGTTTTATTAGAAATATGGAGGCAGGGGACCGGCTTTCCCAGTTTCTTTAATGTCACGGTGAGCGGGAAGTCACCTTGCGTGGGGCATCACTCTTTGTTATTGACTGTCAGGTTTTGAAGGGACAAAAAGGGAAAATTAAGGGGAATGTTGGACAATATTTAAGTCAGATGTGTGCATGTGCAAGCAGTTATTTGAGTGTTAAGTGTTTCCCTGATTTGTACCATTTTAACAAAGTAACAGTAATGTTTTTCATGTATTAATGCATTTTGTAATTATTATGATTCTTCTTTCGTTGTCCTGTTTTTCATGACATCTTTTTTTTTAAGTTATTGAATTATTGATTTATATGTCCAAACTAAGATACCACAAATGATTTCTCACGCCTGTAGGAATTTAGATAACCACTCAATCAGTAACCACACTGATCTAAACATCCGGACTGTGACCTATGGTGGCCTCATAAAAACATGTGGTCTCTTCTTCTACTGTCGTCACATGTTTGGATGTGTGTGTGAGTGTGTGTGTGTGTGTGAGACAGACTGTGGCTTTTGGGCGTTACTTGTGTGAGAGAAGCAAAACAGGGCTCATCAGTAAATGTTGGTCAGCGGTTCAGTGTGTGGTTGAGAAGTTCCTGCTCTGAGAACTGTCCGCCTCAGTCACACCCACAGTGTGTTTTATTGTATAGTGGACACATTTAGTTTTGCTACATTCATTTTGTTGGGTTGATTTATTAATTGAGGTGTTATCTCAGAGAGAGATAATAACTTATAATAGAGATGTGCTCTAATAAACCAAACTGAAGGTAAGTGCTCCAGGTTTTAAATATCCTGCTCTAGAAATGCTTGGTGTGAACATACCTTAACTCATTAGTACAGTGTTAGGAAGCAGACCTGCCCTGGAAGTCAGCAAGCAGCTGACTCCAGCGGTCTGACCTCACCCGAGTCGAGCGCTCTCCTCCAGTCTGTTGCGTGTCAGGCTCCTGAGAGCCACCTGGTCCTCCTCCACCACCTCAGGGAACACGCTGTATTATTCAGGCCATTACTCACCGCGGTGCTGGATTACTCACGCCTTCCCTGCCTTGCTCTGTTACACTCCAGAAAACATCTTTGTGTGGGATGGCCTCCAACGCAGCAGATGCAGATCCCTGCCAACAAACACACCTCTATCACCCGGGGTGATAAACAGAAACAGAGGTGGACTTTCCCATCCCTCCGGTGACAGAGACAGCACTGAATGAAACGCATCAACAATAATTCACCAACAAAACAGTTATGTAACTTCTAAAACAATAAGCCATGCTCAGAATAAAGGTACTGCCACATCAAAAAGCTCAGCCACAAGCAAATGTATCAGATTTCTAAAAGGCTTTCACACAAAAATGATAATAGTGACTGTTATGAAAAGATTATGAAAACAATGATGTCTGCAGTATCTGTTGTCAGGTTTGACTGTATTTAACCTGCATAACCTGCAATGCCGCGAAGCTGCGGGCTGTCTAAAAATGTTCGGCTAAAACATTAAACAACATTGACAGTTAAAGTTTTGCCATAATTAGTTTGTCCCTGATTTGCTTTTAGGTTGTGCAATATGTGTTTAACTAAAATGAAATACTTTCTGTTTAGTAGAACATCTCTGCCTGAGGGAAATGTTGGTACTGTACTCGGGCAGATCAGAGTTAAAATCCGAGTGCCCCTGAAATGCACCTGTTGTCTTCAGAGCGCTTCATTGACTGAATTCTGAAAGATGCACAAAGTTGCTCAAATTCAGAAAGCTGTGATCTTTCGTACATATGCATATATGTGTTTATTATACAACAAAGTGAAATGGCTTCATTCTGCTCTGTGTGTTGTGCTGTAACAAATACAGTATGGACAGACTATTCCGGCTTCCCAGTGTTCAGTGAGATGAAGCTGGCAAGAGGGCAAAAATGGAGAAGAGTCTGCAACGTAGGCGTAAGGACTCAGGGGAGTTGTACTTGTTCTCCTCAATGAATAACATTGTAGTCTGGCCCTTGAATTTTGCGTAGCCCTTTTAAAAGACAAATCCACTACAAGTTGATTTGCTGTTTGGTGGTTATTACATGCACAAGAAGTCCCTGGTCTTGTATGTGTTCAAAATTCCAAACAGCTTTTTGTTTACTTGTGTTCCTCCAGAAGATTACATCACAGAGAAGTTCAAAGCATGTGCAAGGTGAACTCACCAGCCCTGTACTGACTGTACCTCCACACCTGGCTCATGTTGCCTCCTAGATTTAAGGCTCTCTGTATTTCAGCCAGCAAACCTCTTTTTGTGTTGCTGGATGTTACTGGGACAGGTTTGAACAATGTCTTCTTTGTCTCCCAGCAGGCTCACCTATTCCTCTGCCTCTCTGAAGTGACAGAGTAGGTGACAAGGTAAGATAAAAAGCCTGAGATTAGCTTGAAAGGAAGTGTGGTGCACCAGATGTTTCCAAACTGCAGAGCAGAAGGGTTGGAAGGGAGAAGAATTTGACTTAAAGAGTTATATCTCTTTTTTGTGCATGTAAAAGGTTTGCAAAGTGAAAAAGCCCAAAGTCCAACCCAAAGGGAGTTCCCATCTCCCACAGAAAACCCTGCTCTGAACTGCTTGAAAACAGCTTGTTTGTAGTCCAGCCCTTCACTTCCTTTACTTCACAATGAAAACGCGTCATAAAGCTTGCCAAGCGGCTAGCGGGGTCAGACACGCCCTCAAACCAAGCTAGTCTGAGCGGAGTATCACCTCACCTCCGTCGAGGTTCCAAGTCAGCTGAGGGATACTAAAATGTAACGTGAAAACACGACAGACTGCTGAGTGGTCAGAGAGAATATTCACTATTCACTGCATCATCATTGCTGCACCAGACAGAGGCCAGCAACAGAAAGTTTTATATTTTACAGTTTTCGTACGGAATTTCATCA